AATGAGGTGCTGAGAGAGTGAAGAAGCCAGTGTATACTTCTGGTATCCACATGTACATATGCGCACTTGTGCCAGCACACATGTGCATTTATACATGCACAAACAGACATCATACGTTCTTTACCTATTTAATGCGGCTAGAGCTTTGTTGTTTTTAAACCATGAAAACCTATGTGTTTAGCTGTACCACTCCTGAGCACTTACCAAAAGGACTCTGTATCCGATGACAGAGATACCTGCCCAGCCGTGGTCACTGCTGTGCTACTCACAGTAGCTGGGAAATGGAACCATCCTAGGCATCCGTCAGCTGATGGATGGAGAACGGAAATGAGAATTTCAGGAAATGAGTGGAGCTGGGAAATGCCATATTGAGTGAGGTAGCCTAGGCCTAGAAAGACAAATGCTGTATGTTTTCTCTCACATGTCACTCTCAGCTTCAAACTTTTGGATTTCTGTGTTTAAATTGGAGTGTTTGTCGAGGCCAGAAAACAACAAAGGAACCACAGGGGAGCAGTAAAGAGGTCTTGAAAGCAAGTGTCTTAGTTAGGGTCTCTATTGCTGTGAAGAGACACCATGATCGCAACTATAAAGAAAACATTAGTTGAGGCAGCGGCTTACATTTTCCAGAGGTTTAGTCCATTATCATCATGGCGGGAAGCATGGTGGCGTGCAGGCAGACACGGTGCTGGCTACGTCTTGATATGCAGGCAACAGGAAGTGAACTGTGACACTGAGGGAAGCTTAAACAAAAGAGACCTCAAAGCTTGCCCCCCACAGTGTCACATGTCCTTCAACAAAACCACACCTCCCAACAGGGCCACTCCCTATGAGCTTTGGGAGTGAATTACATTCAAACTACCACAGTAAGGGAGTTAATAAAGCATATGTGATATGAAAATGAGGGTGGGGGTGAGGAAAGGGTTAAAAGGGGACAACGTGAATGGAATGGGAGAAAGGTGGGAGTGGGTTATCCAAAAGCCCACAGAAAGCTACTACTTTATAAACTAACTAGAAAATATAATATTTTTGAAACAGGGCATTATCATATAGCTCTGGCTGGCCTGGAATTTACTATGTAGACTAGAATGGCCTTGAACTCATGGATTATTTTCCTATCTCTGCCTCCCAAATACTGGAATTAAAAGCTTGTGATATCATGTCCGACCTGCTAGAACATATATTTTTTAAGAAAAGAGTTAGAATGAAGGTATTCTATGTGGTTGAATAATAGGCTCCTCCCAGAAGCCACGGGTTTCAAAATGAAAATCCTAGAGCCGGATATGGGGTAGTTCCCTATGAGCTGTTGCCTAGTTAGACTCCCAAAATGACACAAAAGAAGGTGTTCTGATTCCTAGATCAGAAATGATGAGATCGAGGGCGAGCACAGTTAAACTATCCCAGGTCACAGACGTGTAGAAGGCGGAGGCGGTTTGAGCCCTGGGCAATCTTGTTCTTCCTGCTGTGTTCAGACCCTGGGACACCACAGCACAGTAAAAGGCTGCAAAGAACGGAAGCTTAGTAAAATGGGTGCTGTAGGAGGTGTTCATCTCTGGAGCAAGGCTCTGCTTTTACACAAAAGCTCCTTGTGATGCAACGTGCGCTGGGTTTAAGAAGAACAGCTAAATAAAGTGTTTCCCAAAGATTTGCATGAAACATCAGCTGGGTTTTGATGCTTGCCAGTTGTTTAAAATGTTTATTCATGTTCAACAATGTTTATTTATTGAAAGTACCATCTATTTAAATCAAATTATCTCCATAGCTGAATATTTATATGAGCACTTTATTGAATATTCCTAAACATTTGCCTAAACCACAAACGATTTATTCACAGTTATAAATGTTCGCTTCTTTAGAGTAAAAAAAAAAATTGCTTAGAAGGCGCTCAGAAGCCAATTGACGTTTCCGCAGTTTGTGAACATCTGCGATGCTTCCCGCGTGTCAGCCGTCAGATTCCTGCCTTGGAAAATGGCTAGATATTCTAATTATTTATGTTCAATAAAATATTAAAAATTTACACAGCGTCTCTTTTACTGTGTCGTATAACAGCAGCATCTCTTGGCATTGGGACAGGCCAATAGATGGATTTTGAGATTTCTCAAGCACCTCAGCTTTCTGCAGGCATTTAATTAGCTGAAACTCCATTTATTTCACTGTACACTACAGCGCCATGAACATTAGGCCTTAAATAACCCTGGGCTCAACAGATGCCAGTATAAAGTGTGAAAAAAAAAAGCAATAAGCAAAGTGATGTAATGCTTCACAGTTTTGTTTGCTGCACTGATGATTCCAAGGAATCGATTTGGAAAGTTCACTGATATCAATAAAGGATTATTGACTCCTGATCTATTGGCACCACCCAGCACTCATCTTGCTTAGAATAAGTTGAATGAACTGTAGGACCAGGTGCCGGGGGAGAGTGAGTAACTGGGTCATGTCCCTCTCATCCTCCCCACTATGATTCTGTGACTCTAAAATCACTGAGTGCAAAGGCTGAGAAGGACCTCCATGTTCCCCATCCTTCTGCTTTTGTCAGTTAGTATGATTATTGGCCTCACTGTTGTTTGCAGTGCTGGGGACTGAACCTATGTTATCATGGTATTCTAGGCAAGTTCTCTACCACATTTCTGCTCCCAGTTGTTTTTATTTGTTTGTGTTGCCTCAGTGAATACTCTCCTCTTCCTTCTCCTCCTCTTCTCCTCCTCTCCTCCTCCTCCTCCTCCTCCTCCTCCTCCTCCTCCTCCTCCTCCTCCTCCTCTTCCTCCTCCTCCTCCTTCTTCTTCTTCATCTTTGAGACAGCTTCTCACTATTCCAGCTCTGGCTTGGAATTCTCTGTATGGAACAAGTTGGTCTCATACTCATAGAGATCTTGCCTCTGCCTCCTGAGATCTGGGATTAAAGACATGCACCATCATGCCTTGTTTTTTAATCCAGTGGGGTGCCCAGTTTCAAGACTGCATAGATACATTTATTCATAATGTTTTACCAGTTCTCTGAAGCCATTTGGGCAAGAAACTGCTCTTGCCTGGATTGTTTGGCTGTATGCTATATAAACTGGATTCACAGGAAAGTGACTGCCGAACTTGCCAAAACAAGATGGGGAAGTCCTTCAGGATTCCTGCTTCATGGAAGAGTCTGCCAGACATTCTGCAGGACCCATAGAAAAATGACTGACAAACCGTCAATACAGATGGGACAGTTTCAAATTTCCTGCTTCGCTGAGAAGTCTGCCAGACACTCTAAGCCTATGGGCTGAAGATGGATGCCCCAACGTTACAGAGGAACTTCAGGTGACAGTCTAGGCAGTGAGATGTCTCTGTCAATTCTAGAGTTTATAAATTATCCTTCTGAGGTCTTTGATGAAGTTGAATACAGATAGTTATGGCTTTCCTTAGTTATGATAAAAGATAAGTTACATGTAAAACTTTAGACTCAAAGAGATAGGATAGATGATGAAATATTGTCTTCAAATTTCCCCAAATGTTGGTGAACTAAATATTGTTAACTATAGTTCTTTCTTGATAATTGGTTTGTTATATAAAATTTTACTATGTTAAAGTTAAAACCTTACTTTTTATTTAGACATAAAAGAGGAGATGATGGGGAAATGTCCTTATGAATGCTGTGAATATATGTTTCTCTTATTGATTGATGAATAAAGTTGTTTTGGCCAATGGACAGACAGAATGTACCCAGGCAGGAAGTATAGGTGGGGCTACCAGATGAGAAGAAGGTTGAGAGTAGCTGCTGAGGAACCAAGAGGTTCAGGCATCACCTGATAAATCAAGAACTCATGGAAATACATAGTTTGATATAAATGGGTTAATAATTAAGAAAGAGCCAGCCAATAAGAAGCCTGAGTCATCAGTCTAACAGTTTACAATTAATAGAAGCCTCTGCATATTTATTTGGGACTAAAGGGCTGCAGGATCAGGCGGGACAGAAACTCCGTCAACAATTTGAGTACCCTTTAGTTCAACCAAGTTAATCCATAAAATTAACCAGTGCATCTGTTGTGAGTTGACTCCTGTTAATTAATATCCTTAGCTATCAGGCCAGATATCTGAGATTATGACCATTTTGGAAATGGGGGCTTATCAGAAATAATGGAGTCAAAATGAGGTCATTAGGGTCAGTCCCTAAGGGAGAAAGATGAAAATAGAAACAAGTATACACAGAGGAGAAATGATGTTCATAGACCCGGACCTAGGCAGTCAGCCATGAGAAGTTAGGAGAAGGCAGTGAAAGAGTGTTCTGTAGGATCCAAAAGAACATGACCCTGCCAACATCTTGACTTTGGATTTCTTGCCTCCAAACCTATGGGACAACAAATGTCACTTGCTTTTTAAGGAACCCAGTGTGTTGCTACAGCAGTGGGAGAAAGCTTGATACATCTTTTCTAATGTGTGGTATGTAATAAACATCTTCAGATATCCTTCTGTGAACATCCACGCCGTGACCAGCAATCCCTTCCCACCAAACACATTCACACCCCTGTCTCCATGACTCAGAGAATGGTCCCTGTGTATCAATGTTTTCAAAGTATCCTATCAAGAACTTTTAAGCTTTGTAAAAACAAAAGCAACTTCAGCTTGTCAGCAAAAATGAAAAAGATATTTCCTCCACATACTTTTACTTGACAATATTACATTGTTACTGTTTGATAGCCACCCTGCTACCCACCTCAAAGCAGATATCAGGGAGAAACAATGAACTCTATGTTCCCTAAAGACAAAAACCTGATTGCAAAGCTGTATGTGACATGATGTCCACCTAGGCTCTTAGGAAAGAGTGTCCCTTATGTTGAAAGCATCATGCACAGTTTTATAGTGAACACAAAGCCATTGCTCAAAACAGTAAAACCCCTCCAAAAAATCTATGCAGGATATTTTTAATTTTTGTGTAGTGGTTAAAAATAATTACACTGGGGGCTGGAAGGATAGCTCAGCAGTTAAGAATACTGGCTGCTCTTCCAGAGGTTCTGAGTTCAATTCCCAGCAGCTACATGGTGGCTCACAACCATCTATAGTGAGATATGGTGCCCTCTTCTGGCCTGCAGGCATGCATGTAGACAGACAGAGTACTGTATAAATAATAAATCTTTAATAAATAATAAATAAATAAATAAATCTTTAAGCAAAGATAATTACTACACTTGATCTTAGCCAAAAGGCCGAGAAGCGATAAGCAAAGATAATTACATTAAAAACACTAATGGTTTTGGTTGTGAGCCTAGCCTTTAACGGCTGAGCCATCTAACCTTCAGAGTAAAAACGATCTTATGCTCTGAATAAAGTTGGCTATTGCATGAGAAAAAATGTTAAAGGTTAAGTAAGCAACATAAGCATTGAATAACAATATTTTGTTGAGGTGAGGCTGGAGAAATGGCCCAGTTGTTATGACGTCTTGCTGTTCTTGTAGAGGACTGTGGTTTGGTTCCTAGCATCAGCAAGGAGGCTCACTGTAACATGGTTCCGGGGATTCAATACCTTCTTCTGGCCTCTGTAGGTACTGCACTTATACATAGGCAGAACATTCATTTGCATAAAATATGTTGATAAAAATATTTTGGAGCTAGAGAGATGATTCAGTGGCTAAGAGCACTTATTGGTCTTGTAGAGTTTGTGGGTTTGATTTCCAACATCCACATGGTGGTTCATAACCCTCTGTAAGCCCAGTTCCAGGCAATTCAATACCCTCTTCTGATCTCTGAGGGCAGGCATATAGTATTCATACACACATTCAGGCAAAACAGTCATGCACAGAAAATAAAAGGAAAGAAATCTTTAAAAAAAAGACCTTTTTGGGGGGAGGGAAGAAAACTAAAGTCATTGACATAGGGTAAACTTTTAAAGTTCAGAGATAGGAATTTTTTAGAAAACTCATTTGCTTGAGCTAATTTGTTTTTGCCTGCTTTTTATTTGTTGGTTTTTATTTTTTGTAGGGTCATTTGAGATGCTGGGGATTGAACTCATGGCCTGGTACACTCTGAGCACATTTTCTACCCTGAGCAGAGTCCTGTCTTTGGCTGAGTGCTGTTTGTTCAATAACTAAGAGTGACTGCCCTCGGAGTCTGCTTGGTTTCATGCAATAAAATCAGAAATCCAAGCATGGTGGTGGTGCACACCATTAATGCCAGCACTCAGGAGGCAGAGGCAGGTGGATTTCTGAATTTGAGGCCAATCTGGTCTACAGAGTGAGAACCAGGATAGCTGGGGCTACACAGAGAAACACTGTCTCGGAAAAAAAGATCCCCCGCCTTCCCTAAAACCATGTTTTGTTGTCTGTACGTGTTGGAGTTTAATGTGTACATAGACCTAGATATCCAGAGGCAGGCAGACCACAGCTGAGGTGCTGCTGGAGGCAATGGTCAAGGGTCCAGGCTTCTACCCTCTTGCTGCAGCATCTACAACACATGGCTTCTGTTCCCACCATCACAAGGTAATGGTGGACACTCCAGGCATTGGCTCTTCCTTCTAAGGAGAGAGGAATGGCAAAAAAGGATAAAGATGATGGCTACTGAATTGTTCTCTTTAATCAGAAAAGGACAGTTTTCTTGGACATTCTGTTCTTGAGGAACTATAGTCTTACACTGTTCTGTTACTGCTCCACACAAAATATAGGTAGTAAGAAATATGGCCAACTATACTGGGCAGAAGGGTTAGGGGGCTTGTTAGAAAAACTTACTACAAAGAATGAATAGGAAAAACCAGACATGTTTGGTCTTAAATTTCCAACTCTCTCCTGCTCTTGGGAGACTGAGTAATATATGCTATCATTTAGCCTAGGGTGAAAGGCAAAAGCACTTAGGTCAAATGGACTGGAATTACTAAGAGTGGTTTTGACTGGAAATAAGCAGGAACTTTTGAACAAAGAGAGTAAAAGACACAATGAGCAAATATGTTTCTTCTTAGATAAGATGGCTACCATATCCTACAGAAATGCTTGTAAATATACATGGGGGTTCATGTGCAGGGATGTTAAATCCAGCACTATTTGGAAAAGTTAAAGTTGTTAAAAAACTTTAAATACTATCAATACAGAAGCATCACTTGTTTTTGTATGTGTGCTCTCTGTGTGTCCATGAGGGGGCACTTGTGTGTGCATGCATGTGGAGGTCAAAGGTGAACGCCAGACGTCTTCCTCAGTCACTCTCCACTTTATTGTTTTAAGGCAGGGTCTCTCCCTGAACCTGGAGCTCACCAACTTGGCTAGCCTGGCTGAGCAATACTCACCAGCAGCCCTGTTTCTGCCTCCCCAGAGCTAGGATTCCCACCTTGTCTGGCTTTATATATGAGTTCTGGGAACTGAACTCAGCCTGCATGTGTACATGGAAAGCACTTTAACCTCATTGTGGGGGTTCTCTTTCCCTCTTGGTCCATAGGCCACCAGGTTGAGAGGATAAGAGGCACTGGCATTGACAGAAAGCTTTGTGTGAGGCCCATGAGTACGAACAGAGACAGCTGTCCTGGAGATGGACGTCAGTGAATCAGTTCTACTTTATTCCAGAGTATAAGGAATATATAGGATTGGGGAACTGGTGACAAACTGTCATTTGCCTTGAGTGACATGGTCCTATCATAAGGCCCCTGGTATAAGTCTTAGTTATCATATGTGCATCAAGGGAGCCTTCTAATAGGGAATCTATGCCAGGGTTCAAGCTAAAGATAAGTCAGGCATCTGGTTTAGAGACAGGTATCCCATTTAGAGACAACTTTCAGATAAGGTCAGCCCTTCAGGCTAGAGGCATGAAGTTCTGCTGGAGGGAGGGAGCCCCAAGTTGTCTAGCTATTGAGATAAGCTGCCAGGTCATGGGGAGACTGAGACCTCTCCCAGCCAGCAATGTTGTCCCACACCTCTCTGTACTTCCTCTCTTCCTTTGGAATGGGAATGTTTACTTTGTACCACTGTGTTGGAAATATGTAAACTTGCTTTGTGATGTCACAGGGACTTTGTGATGTCACAGGGACTTTGTGATGTCGTAAGGACTTTGTGATGTTATAGGGACTTTGTGATGTCACAGGGACTTTGTGATATCATAGGGACTTTGTGATGTCATTGGGCTTAAAGTTAAGAGATTAGCTGGGGCTTGGAGGAGACTCTGAACTTACGTTTTTGAAGAGTATTTGAACTGTTACAGACTCTGGGGACTTTTGAAGTTGGACTGAATGTATTTGATTTATGAGATGGTCACAAGCCTATTGGGGTGAATGTTATACTTTAAGATCAATGTTTGGGTGACAAAATGACAAAGGGTGGACTAGTGATGGTTTATATTGATTGTATACTTGAAGGATCTATAGCCTCAGAATAGACAAGCATCTGGGCATGAGTGTGAGGATTATATATAATAGCTTCATTGAGGGAGGGAGACTTACCCTAAATGTGGATGTCACCATTCCATGGCCTGTGCTCCTGAACCACATGAAAAAGAGGAAACCAGCTAAGCACTGGCATTTGTCACCCTTTGCTTCCTGACTGTGGAAGTGATGCGACCAGCCTCTTTCTGCTTCTGCCATCATACATTCCCTGCCAAGACCAACTGTATCCTCTGTAATTGTGAGTCAAAATCTCTTCCTTAAAAAATAGAAATTGAGCCAGGCAGTGGTGTGGGTCTCTGAGTTCCAGGCTATCCTGGATCAAACAGCCTTAAAAAAGAATTAAAATTGTTAAAATTAAATTAATTCTCTCTGTCTCTCGTGCTACCAAGCTAGTTATAGACATCCAAGGCTACACATACATATTTGTTCATTCATTGTTGTGTATGTGTGTGGGCACTCACATGCCTTGGTGTGCCTGTGGAGGTGGGAGTATAACCTGTAGGGGGTCCAAGGATCCAGCTTAGGTTGTCAGGCTTGGCAGATACCTTTATCTGCTAAACCATCTCGATTTTCCTCTTTAAATGAATTTTGTTAAGCATTTTGTTGCAGCAACAAGACAAGTAACTAGTACAAATATCTAACAAATCTCTTTTTGTATCTGTATCCTGTTGCTTTTGTTTTCTGGAGAGTTCTGATTATGCACCTGTTTGCCAAACACAATCTGAAGTGATTGGGAGATTCTCTTAAGCAATTTCTTACTGGAGTTTTGGAACAGGAAAGCAATACAATGTCTGTGATGCATTTTACTTAAGGGTTTTCCTTTTATTGCAGCATTCTGTTTCTTGCTGCTACTCTCCTCTGACCCTCCTCCAATTTTGATCAGATTCCAGTCCTGCCTCCGTCTAGTATCGCCTCACGTTCTTCGTCTCTCCCAACTCCCTCCTTCCTATCACAGTGGCTAGGATGTGGCGTCCAGTCCCCATGGATAGATACATCTACAAAACACTCCTGTGCCCATGGCTCGGGGAACACTGCAGAAGAAGGGCTGAAAAGACCGCAAGAGCCAGAGGCTCAGGGAGCTGGTGTGAGGCTGTGTGTCCTAGTAATGTCAGACGCGATACCCATGACGTCTCACCAGCGTGGCTGCCCAAACGTGAACTGAACGAGGATGGAATCAATGAACACGTCAAAGAGGGTGGGGGAAGGGCCCAAGAGGCCTCAGCCCTACATAAAGAAGTACAGGCAACCGAGGAAAGCTGGGAGTGGGAGATGTGGCTCTCCCTAGGGAAGAACACACCAAATGGTTGTCCAGCGCCAAATGGTCAGCCCTGAAAACATACCTGCAATAACATCGTGTAGACTTAGCAGGTGGAATGTATCTGTGTATAAGTACACGTACATGCATGTAGTGACAATGAGTGAAAAAGAGACTAGGAATTTGAAGGAGAGTGGAGAGGGGTAGACGGGAGGGTTTGTGGGGAGGAAAGGGAAGGAAGAAATGTAATTATATTAATCTCAAAAGCAAAAACCCAACTATTTAAAAAAAACACAGCTAGGTTTAAAGGTGTTCCTGCTCTTGCAATAGCCCTGACCACACTAAACAGCCTGAATGGAACCCATCAGGTTATGCATGATTAAAAAAATAAAAGACTTAAAAATAGTAAGGGGACTAGCTAGGAAAGATGGCTACTGGCACTCTTTGGCTTGTGGCCATATCCCATTCATTTCTATTTCTGTGATCACGTTTTTCTTCTGTATTATGTCAGCTCACCTGCCTCTTATTGGTACTTGGGATTCATTTAAGGCACACACAGATAGTACAGGATAATCCCCCACTCAAACTCCTTAACCAAGTCTCTGAAGC